TTCTAGTTTATTGATTTGCACTTTTATGGTTTTTAAAAAACAATAAATTTAATTAATTTTCTTAATTAAATTAAATGATTTTGACATTAAGTTAATTTTGATTTCTTTAAACACTTAGTCATTAAGAGTTGCTAAGAAATTTATTTATTCCTATAGATTAACATCTAAATTTACAGTTTGTGGTAAAAAATGACTCATTATGACTAGTGTTTAAAGAAGTCAAAGTTTAGTACCACATTTCTGATTTTTTTTTTTTGATAAAACAAAGAGTATTCAAAGATAGTGATATTCTAGTTGGATAAAAGTAATGTGTGGAGTACCACAAGGATTAGTTCTTGGTCTATTATTATTTGTTTTATTTATAAATGAAATGCTAGAGATACTTAAAAACTTTTATAATTTTTTGTGGGTAATAGCCACCTCATTGCTATGATTAAAAACAAAATGGATATCTTATAAGTTTAAATGATCTTAATGCCTCATAGACTGGTCCAAAATGCTATGGAACCATTTTACAAGCCTGAGTGGTAAATTTAAAGAAGCCAATACCTCTCAAAAATTTAAAAAGAACATAATCAAACTTATTGCCAATCAAGATTCTTTATATGATTTTTTCTAACAATACACTTTTATTTCCAACTTTTATTATCTTATTTTATTATCTTTTATTATCTTTTATTATCTTATCTTTTATTATCTTATTATCCAACTTTTATTATCTTTTTATTAACTTATATTATTTATTATTAACTTATATTATATTAAGGTTACTGATGATAAGATTTTATCTTCTTCAAGTTCTCCGGTCTTGTAACTATTATAATTAATGAAATGTACTTGTATTTAATATTTTTAGATATTCTATCTGAAATTACCTTTAATTATAAATGGTTGCTTGACAAAAAATAAATTAAAAAAAAAAGTTAACATTAATAAATGCAAAGTCATGAAATTTGGTCAAAAACCTAGCAAAAATCACTTTTTTATGATATTGTCGCAAGTTTTTCAAGGAATCTCCTTGAGGAGTTTGAAAAATTGTTTTTTGTGATTGAATTAAATCTCTATATGTGATTTAAATAAAAAAGGGTAATTGGATTTTAAAAGATAACCATCAAAAAAACCACTTGTCTTATTGAGCGGTTTTTAATATTATTATAATGTAAAATTTTTGAAAACATGTCACAAAAATGTTAACTTTTGCAAAAATATAAAAAATTATCATTTTTGTTTCACACTTGAAAATAGTATTTGTTTAATTCTTTTTTTTTATAAAACAATACGTTAACTAATAATTATTATAGAAATTATTACTTGATAGTTTTTTCATACAAATAATGCTTAGTGTGTGCCCAGGTTTACAAAATTAAACTATTTCTATATAATAATTTATTTTAAAATATTTTTAAACGATAATTTTTAAAATTCAGTGTTGCTTTATTATATTAAACACTTAAGAGGTAAAAGCAGATCCAAAAAAAAGTTTTAAGCTTAACTCAAGTTGTTTTATCTTTTATTATTAAAAAAGATTTTTAATAATAAAAGATAAAACACAAGAATTTAAATTCAATGAAAATTTCAAAAATAATAATAATTTTACAAAAAAACTATTTTAAACATTATTAAGTTTTTTGTTAGGCAAAAATTTAAAATTCTTTTAAAGATTTTTTTTAAGAAAATCAATGAAAATATCAATAAAATTTATCAATGAAAATTTCAAAAATAATAATAATTTTACAAAAATCTATTTTAGACATAAGGTTTTTTTGTTTGGCAAAAATTTAAAATTCTTTCAAAGATTTTATTAAGATAATTTTTTTTACCAGAGCGTTTTAATAAAAAAGAGCTTGTAGTTTTTGTAGTTGTAGTTCTTATTATTTCTAATCAAATTTAAAATTATATTAAATTAATAAATTTATATTAAATTAATAAACATAGAAAACGTGGTGGTATCCCCGTGTTGGTATCCCAGTGGGCATGCGTTGTCCATGGAACGACTTTCAAACGTCTTACGGACGTCTAAACTTCCTTGAGACGTCCGCAAAACGTCCCCCAGACGACACGTGCCTACTTAGATCGTGATACGGTGGTATGCTGAACTCCACCGGGGGCTAAAGGTTCGCTTTACTTGATTTTTATAGGACTTTTTTTTTAAACATGAATTTTGAAAATTATTAGAGATCTATTTCTAAAAAAAGTCCTGAAGAATTTTTTTTAGAATTTGACAATTGTGCCCACCACCCCACCACCACCGCCACTTTAAAACACGTGTCGTCTACTCTGATGTTAGGCAGCAGCAGTTTTTAACTTTCTTTAGAAAAATCTATTACTTTAGGCGGGATACCTTTAACTAGAGCATAAAACTATAATGTATAAAATTTGAAAGTTGCAAGTCTTCTCATTTCTATCTGATTTTAATTTAACTTTTTTACATATAATTCTTTATGATTTAGACCGGCGCGAGGCCGGGGTGTGTGGGGGAGATAGTAAAAATGTAGACCCTTTCGACAAGGCAGTCAGCAATTTTTTTATATATTTTAATATACTTAAAGTAATAATATAAAAAAATTTGCTTCAACATCTTTTCGCTTTTATACTTTTTGTTTTAACAACCCGCTACCGGTTTATTTATGTTGATTTTTCAAACTTATTTTTCAAATAAGGTAGCTACTAGTTTACTTAAGATTTTTTTTATTTTTAATTTAACTTTTATTTTCTTCTAAACTATTTACTCCAGCTTGAATCAATTTAGTACAAAAAATTGCTGGAACTATCGTATGTTTATTACTACACTCTCTTCTGTAGAGAATAATTGTATAAAAATTGTAGAAAAATTCAGTGACCACTATGCGGTTTGGGGCTGTCCATTATTTACATCAACAAAATAGCGGGGAAGTTGACGTCTACAATGTTACTTTTTTTAATAAGTTTAATTACTTTAAAAAAAGAACATCAGGCAGCGTTTGCAGTCCTGTGTTACATACTCGCTCAACCTTCAACGCTAAACCTATTTTAACAAAGCAATTTATATTCCTACATTTTGAAAACCGTGTTGTACTTTAAAAGTCCCGACGCATACAGAACTGAATAAGTACACACGAGATATTTACTTGTAACACTATTATTTTTTCAAAGTTGTTGTTGGTTAGTCTGTTGTGCAAACAAAAAAGATTAATGTAAGTACATGGTTTACATTATATTATTTAAATGTTTATCCATATATCTACCTTTTAAGAAAGAAAAGAAATTGAGTTTGAATGTAGAAAACATAATTT